ACTGAAGCTAAGCAGGTGTGAGCCTGGTCAGTACCTGGATGGGAGACCTCCTGGGAAAAACTAAGGTTGCTGCTGGAAGAGGCGTTAGTGGGGCTCACCCTGCGGCCTGTGTGGGTCCTAATGCCCCAGTGTAGTGACGGGGACACTATACTGTAAACAGGTGCCGTCCTTCGGAAGAGATGTAATACCGAGGTCCTGACTCTCTGTGGTCATTAAAAATCCCAGGGTGTTTCTCGAGAAGAGTAGGGGTGTACCCCGGCGTCCTGGCCAAATTTCCCATTGGCTGCCGTCTCATCATCCAGGTGGGGCTGCACACTGGTGGTGGTGGAGCGGATCCCCATTACCTGTAAAGTGCTTTGAGTGGAGTGTCCAGAAAAGCGCTTTATAAGTGTAAGCAATTATTATTATTATTATATTTGGAGTGTTGCAAATATTTAAGTCTGTTGTGTGCTGAACACCGTGCTGGGGTATGTCATACTAGGGTTGCATACTAGGGTGTCGCATACAATAGCATAGGAGATTTAAAGCCCTTGATCACGAGACAGGAGACAGGCTGTCCGTGAATTCGACTCGATTTCACTCACTGCTGAAGGGTTAAACCTGGAAGGCCATGAACTGCAAAGACGCAGTTTTTAAACAAATTCTTCTGACTGATTTTTGACATAAATTTTTGGAAACAATATCCATTTTTCAAAGACGTGTTCCGAGTCTCCTCTCCTGGCTGGATGCTGGGGCCGATTGCTTTTGGAGAGTTTAGAGAAGGTGACTCTCTGATATCCTTGGGCAAAGAGTTCCAGAGCTTGGGGGCATAGCAGGAGAAGGCCCTGTCGCCCATACAATGTAGACGGGCTTGGGGGACAGTAAGGAGGGCAGAATTTGAAGAGCAGATGTTGCGAGGTGGGGAGTAGGGTGATAAAAGTTCAGACAGGTATTGAGGTGCCAAGCCATGTAAAGCCTTATAGGTGAGCATGAGGGTTTTAAAGTCTACGCGGAATTTGACCGGAAGCCAGTGCAAGGACTCCAGGATAGGAGTAATGTGAACATTTCCCAGTGTGTCTTGCTTGTGTTTTGTTGTAAAAGCCTAGCGTCTCCGCGGTTCCTGGCTCAGCACTGGGAGACGGATGGCTAGAAGCCCGCCTACCAGCGGGTCCAGGAGTGGCCCGATGGCATCGGCTTCACCAGGGCGTCCTGACCTTCTGAGTCTGGGGCTCGGAGCGCCTGGTCCCGTTATGCTTTTAGTTCATTGTGTTCCCGGTCTCGGTCCCCCTTCCCGGGGATTTTAAATGTCTTCATCTTGGATGGATCTTCTGGCCTTTGGATTATGGACAGCGCCCTGATAACCCCTTTTTGGACCCGTTTGGACTTGGTTCCCCCCCCCTGCTGTATCTTCCCCTGATGTCCTTCTCCAGACTCTTCCGGATTATAGCGTCACCGGTCTGTAACCGAAGGTTCTCAATGCCAGCTATAAGCATGATGCAACGGTGAGAGAGAACTGAATACCACGGTAAACTTTGAGACGAAGTGCATCCGTGCAGCTGCAGCAGGACCGTCGCGCACAGGGTCTTTAAACAACGTACTTGACGGGACTCTGCCCCGGCAGGGACACCCGTAGGTGCCGGAGAGCAGTGGAAGGGCTCAGGGCCCCTGTGAGCAGATAGACAGGCTGAATCCCTTCCGCAGACAGGCAGTGTGCTCCCTGCAGGCCCACCCAGCTGGTGCAATCAGGGCTGACGCAGTGTGCTGAGCTGAACTACAACTGCCAGTTCCGAACCGCGGATCTGCTGCAAATCTCAGCCACTGCCGGTTTGAGAAAAGCCGACGTGTCGCAACCTCAGTGGGCACACATGGCAAAAAGGAGAAAGGTTTTAATCAAGTCCACAAGAGCCCGGAGAGCAGCAGCCCCTGGGAGCTCAGTACTTCAGGAGCACAAAGGCTGCCTTCTGTAGCTGCACCTATCTGCTTCTGCACCTCCGCTATCGCTGCCTCGCTTGCACGGCGCTGACGGCGGGGAGGAGATAGAGCCTCAGACAGAGCAGCCATTCAGGCAGAAGAGGAGAGAGAGAGAGGGCGGAGGCCGTCTGTGATGCCTGCAAGTCTGGGTGGAAATGGAGGTTCGAGAAAAAAGCTGTGCCAAAGAACTCGCAGGCCAGAGGAGTCTCCTGCCCCAGATCTCACAGACAGGGCTGCAGGCAGACACCCAGCCCATACAGCAGCCTGAACCCCAGCCCCCCTGGGGGGGGGGACACAATCTCGTACTGGATTGTAGCGATCGCCACTTCCTCACCTGACGTTCGGCAGGGGGGGCACCCCAGATTTAGGGCCGCTATACCTTCAGGAGTGGGGGGAGTTGTGTGGTTGCCTGGGAAACGAAGGGAGGCTGAAAGGGAGAAACGTGGAGAGGTGTGTGTGCAGTCGCACCAGAACTGACCAGCAGCGACAGGGACTGCCCTGCGCCCCTTTCATTTATGTTTGAGTTACCAGTTTCCGTTTGGGAACAGCCCTTTCGGCACATTAAAAGTGCTTTCCTTGCACTGGCGAAGTGGCGCTGGAGCTGTGGGGTGTGACGAGAAGGCTTTGGTTTAGCGCTCCAGGCCTGTGAAGAGACTGTTCCAAGCCAGTCGGGATCGGGGAGGAGATGGATCCCTCCATCCGAAACGAAAGGGAGAGGGAAAAAGTCAGTCCAACAATGGGAGAGATCCCCCTGGTGCACCAGGAGAAGGGGAAACAGGGAAAGGAGAGGAAGCGAGAGAGGAGGCGGGGGGAATCTTGATCTTGAACTTTTTGCCCCATCCAAACCCTTTCCAAAAAACTGTATCGGAAGTGTCAGCGCTGCTCCTGTTCTGAACATGAAAATACAGGACACGTAACGGATAAGAGGCTATCTTGCTTGTTTGGCTGTCACTAGTTAAGCAATTTCAGAATTCCCCCTGTCCCTTTAAAGGGTCACATGGAGTGGACGTCTGCCTCATGAATTGGGAGCTAGTGCCAGACTCCCACAACTCTCGGTGTAAATCTCCTAAACTATCCTGAGTGACCCTAAACTTTATTTTTCCCTTCAGTCCCTGAATGCTCGTGGTATTGCAATTACAGCCCCTCCCACTTTCTCTCTGTCACGTTTAAAACGAAGACTTTTCCAGTCATGGCCAACTTGCTGCTTCTCTCCTCGATTTAATCCAGCCTAGTCACCGATGAATTACACGTGCAGTAGAACATGAGCCGCTCTCACCCGTCCGGCTGGAGCTGAGGACAGGATCGCTCGCTCTCACGTGCTCGCTGTGTCCAGGGCCCCGCAGCTCTTCCCAGACAGAGGGGTGACGCTGCGTAATTCACTCTGACACCTGGCTGGACATCAAAGCCCTGCTCTCCCTGTGAGAGAACAATGCCTCCAGCCCACCCCCCCTCCCAGCCATTCTCCTGCCTGTTGTCTCCAAGCCCCTCCCCCTAGAAATCAGCAGAGAGCTCGCTGGACCCTGACTTCCCCGCCTTCATCCCCTCTATTGTTCCCCCTCTGTTTTTGCCTCTGCCTGCCAGTTCTCCCCCCCACTAGTGAGTCAATTACATCTGAAAGGTGCCGGACGCTGGAGACTGGGCACACAGGCACAGTGCCAGCAATGGAGAAAGGGAGACCATCCGCAGAGGACGCTCAGGCCAAGAGAGAGAGAGAAGCCCAGTGTGTGATCTCCTGTCCCAGCCTGAGGAGCAGGGAGCCTGTCTCCCAGTAATGCTCCATCTGTCTACAGTATATATCAATATTTTATGATATGTCTTTGTTGTAAATGGCTGTAATATGTCTGTAGATTTGATTTTATATTTTTTGTTTTGTTTCATGTTCATTTTATTTTTATTTGCTTTGGCAACACTGATTGTGCCCATCGGTCATGCTAATAGAGCACCTTGAATTGAATTGAATTGAATTGAGAACATGAAAACACCTACAGCGCGATAGGGTGTCAGCTGTTGCTCACCTGGGAGGTCACAGATGCTGCCCGTTAAGAGATCTTGGAGAGCAGTCTGCCCGAGCAGCAGACCAGCTCATATAACTACTGTCACTGCAGAGGCAGCATGGCTGGGAGGCAGAGATGCCGATGGTACAAAACGTTAGAGCTAGGAACTTGGGTAGACCACATTAAACACTGCACAGGGGGACTGGAAGAGCAGAGCGAGTTCACTAGTGCTCTGTCAGATTGGAGGGGGCTTGACTACTGCTGGTCGAGATCAAGTGAGGGAGAGGACTGAGTGCCAGATACGAGTGATTATGCAGCCAGGCCCTGAACAAGTCACCTGGGGCAGGTCAGTGGATCACCCCGGCCTGGGAGGCCCAGCTGTGATCTCCAGATCTTACATTGGGTGCCTGACTGAGATATCGACATGGTCTCGCCCCAGAACTGTACTAAAGCACTGTGTGCTATGTGTACTATGGTAACCAGTTTTAAACCTCTTTGAATGGAGAGGACAGATCTACTCAGCTTTCTGGGCACTAAAGCATGCTAAAGGCAGCCAGAATGCAAAGCAGTACTCGAGCTGGAGGGTTCTGTAACCGAACGTTATCAAATACGAGCAATAAGCATGGTGCAACAGTGAGAGATAACCGAATACCACGGTAGACTTTGACAAGAGGTGCGACTGTGCAGCTGCAGCAGGACCACTCGACAAGTCCCTCTCCCAACCCACTGCAGTGAAGAACTTTGCAACTATCCGCTGCTTAATTAATTGATCACCAGGAGGATCAATTTAACAATCCAGGTGCCGGTTGCACTGAAGTGCTGTAATGCCACAGCAGACTAACCTACTATGGTGGTGCCAACTGACTGATCAGACCGAACAGCCCTGCCCTACAGCAATGCTGCCAGCTAGATGACAGCATTCTATTGCAATGAGAGTTTTCCAGCACAGGGGTTTTATTTGCACGACTAGCTCTCCTGGATTGTCCCGGGATTCCAGATTCTCTGTGGGACACTGGTGGGAATGATCTGGGAGTAAGGTCTCAATTCATTGGCATTTAACAATGTGTACCGTTGCCCCCAGTCCCACAACTAATGTTTTGGATTTTCACAGGAGGGTCGGGGTCTCCAGGCTTCTCCCTCCTGCACAAGAAGTGTGTTTTTCCCACTGGCACACATTCCTGGAACACATCCAGCCCCAGCAGCAAAGTTCAGGGGGCATCTCATTTTCCTGTGGCACCGGCCCCCATGTGAGCCACTGGAAAACAACCCAGTTTAACCCTCTTCGAACCGAGAGGCCGGATCAGCTGCTTCTCAGCTTTGTGTGCTTTTCGTCCGGCTCACTTCCTACACTGATGCTCAAGAAAGCCGACACTGCAGAAGTGGTGGAGCATGGAAACCCAGCTGGCCCACGGGCTTGTCCATGTCACTCTAGCACGCTGAGCTTACAGCCCAGGTCTGCACTGTCAACAACACAAGACTCACCTACAGCACTCCTGCTCAGGATCTTACCAAGCAGATAAGACACAGCAACGGACGATGGGGCTGTTGGTGGAGAGTACACGTGTCAGTTTTGCTTCTGTTTGTTATGAAGTATGTGCCTTGCCCTGTCCTCCACCTGTGGGGATTACATCATATGAGGAAGAGGAGGAGGAGGTGGGATTCGGGATACGGAGGAGTATGGATTTATTCCTCTGGTCTCCATGTCGTCACACTTGTGACTTGACCTAAGGCCACAGGTAGGTCCCTTTTCAGGCCATAAAGGCCCATGGGGGGGATGGGGGGAAGGGGCCCCAATTTTTCTTGCCCATCCGGCACTGGAGGTGGAGGTGATGTGGTCAGCATCACGCTCCGGCCAGCCTGTTACCCCCAGAAGGATTAACCCCCAGTACTCACTTGGAAAACAGGCCGAGTGGACCTGTGAGCCATCTGGAAGGAATTAGAGCAAGCTCTATCGCCTGCCCCTACCTGGGATTGAACCCGGGACCTTCTGGTCAGGAGCTCGATCCCCCAGCTAAGGCCACAGTGGCTTGGAAATAATCGGGCAGATGGATCAGACTGCCGTGACTGTCCTGGGCTGGAATTGTGACATTCTGCCGTGTAGGACAAATCCTGACCCTCCCAGAGCTGGTTTTCTGGATTCTCCTGACTAGTCTGCTGATGGAGGAGCACAGTACTGTATATCCTTCTCCAGGCAGCCGGCCTTCAATTATGCTGAAAGCAATTTTCACAGGAAAATAATGCTGGTTTTGAACAGTGATTTTTCCAGATTCTTACCTCGTTTTGGAAATGTTAACTCGGCTCAAGCAGTGAGCGCCTGTCGTTTTCTGGGACTTGAGCTCAGCCGTCACCCCAAAGCACACTAGTACTACAACAGGAAACCTAGCAATATCTGCCCACTCTTCACAACATACTGGCAAATCAGTACGGGGAGTATGGACCCAGTGAGCTATTCACGCAAAAAGGAGACTGCTGTGTTTTCATTGTGCAGCAACATATATAGCCTCCATTGTAGCCAGGCGATAAAGAATGTGACATGAAAATCAGAAACACAGTCAAATTCTTGTGACTCACTCATCTGAGTCACAAGACCTCAATCAAGCCTGTGGTTAATAAAATGTGGTCTGATGAAAATAATTAAGCCAAAAGCTATGGTCCCTTTATGAAGTACAGGAGATAGCACAGGGCAGGTGCTAACACAATTCCTGATAAGGTTTACCCTACCTACAATAGGCCTCTGTTCAGTCACAGACAGGACGTTCACACGCTGACCAGCTGATGTTGCCCACAGCACATCTAGATAATTGCTGGGGCTCTGGGCTGGTAACTGGAAGGTTGTGGGTTCATAAACTGGGTGGGACACAAAGCACTTAATACTGATGTGTCTCACTAAGGAATCCAGAGTTTGCAAAAGATAAAGGTGGAAATTTGGGGTGGCACCGTGTCGAGGCCCTGGGTTCAATTCTGGACCTGGGGTGCTGTCTGTGGGGAGTTTGCATGTTCTCCGTGTGTTCACACAGGTTTCCTCCAGGTGCACTGGTTTCCTCCCACAGGCCAAAGACATGCCAGCAGGTTAATTGGTGTCTGGGAAAACTGGCCCTGGTGTGAGTGTGCGTGTCTGTGTGTGTCCTGTGATGGACTGGTGTCCCATCCAGGGTGTACCCCGGCCTTGTGCCTGTTGTTTGTTGGGATAGACTCCAGCAGTTTAAAAAATAAATGAAAGGATGGGGGCTGTTTGGCATGTTTAGAGCTAATTAATCTAATTAGCAGCCAGGCTGGGAGTTTGGACAAATTGTTAAATTGTTCCAGGCACCCACAACCCTTTGTGTAAAACAGTGACTCCTGTTCTGGGTTTGGGATGCGCTATTTTTCCATAAAGGCACCAGCTTTTGTTTCCCACAAAACGGGAATAAAGCCTGGAAAAGAGAATTTTCGGAGAGCCTTATAGGCAGACATCTCAGGCAGGGAAACCCTAAAGGTCTGCCGAACCGGCCCTCGACGAGGTGACCTGAGGGGATTCAGTTCGGCTGCGGCGCCTGACAGTTGCGGCAGCGCCGTGCGGCAGTGCAACATGCTGAAAATCCGTGATTCAGAGGCCGGCAGGCACACATGCCAAACAGCTGCAGTCTTCGGAGGAAACCAGATTATTTAGTCATTTCATTTCGGTGACATGTAACAGGCGGTGCTTCGAGTTTTAAACTCGTGCACTAGTTTGCCACGACGTTTATGTAGGATTTCGAGCCGGGGCTTGAAACTCTGCGTCCTTAAAGAGATTCCTGCGAAGTTAATTTTGTTTTCTTCCTTTACAAGAGGCGGGGGCGGCGGAGGAAGAGATGCAAATCCTGCGGTAGTGAATTTTTTTAAGGAGCTCGGTGGCGGCGTTGCGGAGAGAGGTGAAACGGAAAAAAAAATGCAGATGTTTGACGTTAGGGAAAATGTTTCGCCGGATAACAAGTTAGACTCTAATGAGACGTAGCGAAACAAGTTCATTCATTGTTCTAGCGCTGACCAGGCTGTGTCTAAACGAGAGAAAGTAAGACGTGCTACCGATGCCTTTTGAGGACAACGGCATTGATTGTGCGTGGGAATTTTGGAAAAGGAGACTGCAGCTCAACTGCACAGACTGAAAAAGATATGTCTCGGGTTAATTTATTAATTGTAGGCCACGAAAAAGTGCAAAATCCCAGCAAGCGTTTAAATAAGGGACAATACAAAACTTCCCTAAAGAAGAACAGAAAACGATGTTAAAGAAAATACTGCTATTAAAAAGAAATGTGTTTCAATAGCTGCATTAGGCGCCGGTATCAGCTATTCATGCAGTACTTTTGTGCGCGCGTGTAGATTATGGTGGGGGTTATTATTTAAAACATTCCCGAAACACGTCTTTCTCCCCTTCTTTGCTGTGGAAAAGAGCACGGGAGGCTATTTTACTGTTACGTTACCTTGCATTTCCTGCGTGTCCGAGTCACAGACGCCGGCAGTCACCAACACAGAGACTGAAAGCAGAGCGGGCAACCAGTGGCTCGCACCCATGTCTCCCGAAATCGTGCGTGGAACTCGGCCAGTCGAAAAGAAACTCCCGGTGAGCTCTTCGAGTTGGGAATCCCCCCCTTTTTGAAGGTGCTCGCCTGACCCGCAGTCTGGGTTCAGCAATTCGCCGTCCGGGCAAGCCGATATCCTCCGTGTGTTGGAAAGAGAGAGGAATCCAGTCTTCTAGTGTCTGATCATATCGCGCGTTATTGCTACACGCTCCAGTAACGGAAAAAAAAAATATCTCTCTTTTTTTTTAAAGGCGGATAGTAAAACGCGTCAATCAACGACTCGCCGTCCCATCCAGGAATTCGTAACCCTTTGTCTGCGAACTGGTTTCCTTTCCCCTCCTCCTCGGGTTGAAAAGAGCGACACGGGCTTTTCTACCTCTAGTCCCGCGCAGTCTGACCAAATGGTCTTGGAATTCTAGACCAGCTGATATCAGCCTGGAGCGGGTCGAATTGCGAAGTCTGTTTTCACTCCGCTCCGCTGGAGCGGCTCGCAAACTGTCCTGGGGACTCAGCAGCGCATGTATTCGAGAGAATTTCGGGATTCTTTGCAGCCGAGCGCTCAATTGCTCAAATGTTGTTAAAAACATATTATTTTGTAATGCATTTGATCATTCGATGGCTACAGTAACACAAACAGTTATAGTTGCAAATGAGTGAGGGCGATGTGGCTCATCACGCTGGGGTGTGACATAGTGATCCAAGTATCTCTTGCACGATTTCAGGCCATGTCCTTTGACACTGCAGCTGGCCAAGCTGTTCCAGACACCTACACCTCTTACCGTAAAGTGCCTTCTGTTCTCTGTCCTCAACCTGCACTCTCAGTTTCAATATGAAGTAGAATCCTTTCTAGTTGGGCATTTTCTTTGGTACATTGAAATCTCGCCCAGGCTTCTGAGATGATGCTTTCCAATAAAGTACTAGGACTTCCCTTGTAGCCCCACTAGAAATAACTTTAAGGGCACACAACACGCTCTCCGATCCAGGTGTCAAGATTCTGAGCCCTGGTTATGCGCAACTCACAGAGCGCCACCAGGGCTCACCTGGGATGAGCCAGGCAGGGCTCAATCGTCTCTTTTGGTGCAACGAGGAGTCGAGCAAAAATCGGCTTACTTGTGTTCTCCCAGAGACGTGAGAAAAAATGCTCCAATCAGCATTGACTCTCCTGTCAGGCTCTACTGAGGTCACTGCATAACCAAAGCTGATTGGCTCCATGGATGGGAGTGTCCAAGGAACCTGTCTGGTCCTCCAATCGGCACTGACTCTCCTATCAGACTCACCACATAAGCAAAGCTGATTGGCTCAATGGGTGGGCGTGTCCAAGGAGCCTGTCTCTGTGAGAGGAGTACTCTCTGCGAGTGCTACAGGAATCAGTGCTCTTCTGAATTCCAAACTGGGAGGGCAGAAAACAAAATACACTACAAGAACCAAGAGAATTACTAGCTCAGTCAAGGGGATCTGTTAAATCCATCAGATATTTTGAATGTAAACCAGGAGACACTATTGACTTGGGTCACAAGTCACAAGTTTTACTCCTTACAACACAAATTCCACAAATTCCTGTGGGACAAACTAAAATGGGGAAGCTTGCCAGCAGGAGTCCTGTGACCCCTGACCCCTCTGTGACCCTTCCACGAACTTGCAGTTGCATGCCTTGACTCCTGCATGGTTCTGCTGTGTGCAGTCTAGGTTTTGTCCATGTAACTTTACATGGAACGTGTATCAAAGGCTAGTAAAATCATTGATTTAAGCTAATCTAAGAACATCATATGACTAAAATCTTACTTTAATTTGGTTAAGAACACATTTAGTCAAATTTACTTAAAATTTAAAGTCTTGGAGAAGACTTTAAATTTACACTCATGAGAGAGCAGTTGTAAGGAAAACTGGAAAGTACGGCAGAGGGCCTGAAGGACCACAACTGAAAACATATTGTAGGTCACCTTGAACTAATCAAATATTTTTTTTATAATTGATGCCATTATCTAGAAGTAGAACACTTACACCCTTTTATGCAGCTAGGCAATGTACTGGAGCAAAACAGCTGTGTCTCACTTGGGATTTGAACTCGCAACATCCTAAACACATATCCAGGCCCCTAATCACTGAGCCACAATACTGCCCTGCCCTGATGGGACTGTCAATCAAGGGACAATAAATACCTGGGAACATCTGTGAGATACTGATCAGTTAAGCCAGTCACTTAACCAATTAACAGTACCCTGCGAATGAGTTTGGCTCCAGCTCTGAATTCTGTAAGTTAACACCACCTGCTATGTTTTTGCCTCTTGAGAAACTGGTGTTGTAAAGGTGACTTATAAAAACTGTTGCACTGGTGCTCTCCGAGACGAGGACTGGAGACTGCTGGATTTGTGATCCTGTCGTCTGGTTTGTGCACGACAGCCAGACCGACCGTGCCCAGGCGCCTGTGACGCTGCGGTGCCTGCTGGGAGTGGTGCACAGACCTGGCCTGGCCGCTGTGGTGACGTCACAGCCCTGGTGCATGGAAGTTAGGAAAGCGTCCTCCACCGGACTGGCTGGGGCGTGCTGCACCAGCTCTGCTGAACGGACCACGGCAGCCAGAGAGCTCCAGTC